AGGTGATTATTGAATTGTTCATGAATCAAAAGGATTGGACTGTATGATATGCTTCAACAATAGGATTTCAGTTTGAGATGGTTGCTGATTTTGCATATGAGACGAGAAAAACAAAAAATGGAGAAAGTAGAAGAATTATCCCTCTACAAAAAAAATATACAAAATATAGACCTAAATTATACATATCCCGCTACTAGGAAAGTAGATGATAATGTTGGACCCAAAAAACCAATCTCTACCTTTCTTTGACCGATTTACAAATGGATATGGTCATGGTTGTACAAAAAAATTACATAGTACATTTAAGTCAACAAAACAAAAAAACAAAAAAAAAAAACCCACGCACACAAAGGTAGCTCTATCAAGGCTTTAATGGTCTTAGAAATAATAGAATCATGGAATTATTGATAAAATGTTACTATTTGTCAACAAAAAAACAAAGTGTTAAATGAATCAATTTAGAATTAAATTGCTAAAAAAATAAATAAAATTAATGTAAACCTACCAAATTTTTAGGCAATGAGAACACATAAATATAATCAAATACCAACAACAATGTTTGGATGCAAAAGATTCTTAAGAAGTTCCACTTTTTCTCAAGCTCTCTAATGTGAGCCTATTAAGCAAATTGAAAGCAATTCTTTAGATACGAATGAAAAACAAAAGTTAGGTTTTCAAAAGTTAGGTTTGCGGATGAAAAACACTAAGATGTGAATCGCTTACCTATTATAGAATAAGAGGAGAGAGCAGAGGGGCCAATCCACCTAATTGTGCCATTGCAACCTAAAAAAGTTAATCAAAATCACACCACACCCATCAACATGAGAGCAAAAAGGAAAAATAAAATTTCCCCCCAAAATGACAGCAAAATAAGAAAGCAAAATAAGGAAAAAAGGAAAAGTAAACATGAGAGCAAAATAAGATCAAAATAAAGAAAACATTTACTATATACTATAATACATTAATCTAAGTTTCTTAATCATCATCTATCCTTCATGAGATGCAAAACAAGTTCACCTTGATTTATCAATAGCTTGATTACCAACAAAAATAGAAAATAAACAAAAGGAATATTAAATTTGCATTGAGAACTACAGGTTTAATGTTGAATACCCTATCAAAAGACTCTGTTTTCCAAACTGAAAACTTACTATAAACGTTGATTTTTAAGAGTTACTATAAACTTACTACAAATCAATTAATTTTTAAGAGTTAATTAAAATAAATGTTGAAAAATTCTTTAATTTGTGGTCTTACTTACGAATTATGTGTACCATGCACCATAATTCTAATGATTTGTGATCATACTTAAGAGTTATGTGGCATTTAGTTATAAGATTTTGTGATGGTCAAATTTATGATGAACTTGGTTATTAGACTTTGTATAGTGTTTATGGTTATAACCCATGATGGATTGGTTATAAAATTTTGTCATATTTAATTATAAATTTAAGTGGCCTCAGTTATGAGGATTTATGATATTTTTTTTAAATTATGAACTATTGTGATTAAAACTTTGGATGCATATCGTTAAAAAACTTTTGGGGTACATATAGTGGCACTTCCCATGAACATTTATTTATGGTTGAACTGGAACAAATTTAATATGACTTATTGGGTTATTCTATCAAACACTTGCAATACATGACTTAATTGGGTCATTCTATCAAACACATGTGTCATGATCATAATTGATTTAAGTCCAGTAAAACTCATACCAAAAAAAAAAAAACCAAAACAAAACAAAACAAAACAAAAAGCATGACTGGTTCAACAATCCTATAAATTTTGAAAAAAATAATTAAAGCCAAAACGGTGCATTAATAGTTATAGTTGTGTACCTATATATATTCCCCAAAATCAAAATAAAGAAAACTTATTGAGTCATTCTATCAAACACTTGCAATATATAACTTATTGGGTCATTCTATCAAATACGTGTGTAATGATCGTATAAACAACCAACTAAGCAATATCACTAATTGATTTGAGTCCAATAAAACTCACACCAAAAAAAAAAACAAAACATGATTGGTTCAACAATCCTATAAATTTTGAAAAAAATAATTAAAGCCAAAACAGTGCATTGATAGTTGTAGTTGTGTGCCTATATATATAGATTGGGTTGAAAAAGCATATATATACATATACATCCATAATCATATATATACATACATATTGGAATCATATATATATAGATATTGGCTTAAGAGAAAGAGAGAAGGGGTAATCGTAGCCAGTGCAGGGACAGGCTTGGGTCTGGTTCCGGTAGTGACGACTTCTTTTTCAACTCCCATCTCTGAATCTCTCTGATCTGTTTTATTGTTTTATTTCAGCTCATTCAGTCTTCGTCGATATTGAAGGGGGGTTGGGGCTGCCACTATTGATAACGATTGGGATGGTGGAGAGAGGAAGAAAGAAGATGAAGAGAGTAATAGGGGGTTTAGAGTTTGGTCGTCAACAAGAGTTGGGCTCCAACAGGGAAGTACAGGAATGGGCTCCAATGGAGGTAGAGAAAGAGAGGGGTGTTCAAAATTTGGAATCAAAAAGAGATGAGAGGAGTAAGTATGAGAGAGACAGAGAGAGAGAGAGAGATGATGTGTGTTGAAAATGGTCTAGAGAGGGCGAGTGAGATATTTACAGCCTTTAGATTGAATCAATCTAATGGTCCAAATTTTGACAAAGGGACAAAAGTCCCATCTGAATTCAAAATCTGAGTTGTTTTGTTATATAGATGCATAAAAATTACAGTATCTATATAAATATAGATGTATGTATCTGTAAAATATAATTATATGAAAATTAAGTTGAAAAGATTATGTATTTTCTTTTCTATTTTTTATAGATCTAATAGTCTTTTCACCTTATTTTTCTTTTTTCTTTTTTTTCTGGTAGAAATTTACAGATCTGGATATTGATGATGAAGATTAAGGCATTTTAGTCATTTAATTCCAAAAAAAAATCATCTTTCCATGCCCATTTGCATATTAGGCGCGTGTCATATACACACTGTTATGCTAGATGAAAATGCTGACTGTACAATTCAATCTAGTAACCACAGGGGGATTGTGTGGTGATTTCCAAACATCAGGGGGTAAACAGCACGCAACCCAAACCACACGGGGGTAAAATGAAGTTTGCCTTATTTTTTATATATATGACTAATAAATTATTGATAAAAATAACATTAAGTATTATGTGAATTAATTTTTTTTTTTAAATCACAATGTAATTATACTAAATTTGTAAAACTTATTATATTTTATTTAAACTTCAAGAAATATTATTGCAATTTCTTCATTTTTTATATTTCATCCGTAAGCTATTCATTTTTTATAGTTCACAAATATTTTGTTTTATATTTCAGTCCTAACACAAATTTTTTGTCATTGGTATGTGTTTACCGCACATAAATAGTTGGGTTCTCTCTCTTTCTCATATACAAATATTTTGTTTCTCTGTCCCTCATATTTTTTCTAACAACTACCCTATCAACCAAAGTAGCAACCTTACCACCACCTACACCTCTGCCACTAACATGCTCTTATTACCAATCCCACCTAACACAAACTCCTTTGACATTACCCAAATCACCCATCAATGGATGCCTAAATCAACCATTTTTATGCTTAATTCTCTACCAAAACCAGAGAGCATTACCCTTAACCCACAACAATGTAGTTGCCCTTTTCTACTGCCTAAATCAACCACCTATCTCGACCCTACTCTACCTTCACCAACAACTTTTCCTCACCAAAGTCCATATCGGCCTCTCATCCATGGCATTCGAAATAAAAAAATATTTCAGACCACTAATTCAACACTATTAATATACCATTAATCACATGACACTATGTAAACCTCACCACTAATGTGATAGTTTAGCTTTTATTTTTATTTTTTTCTTACACTACCAACTCATTAGAGCTGACATTAGTACTCCCATTTTAGAGTACGAAATCAATTCTCTTCGAAATATCGAACACCGGCATCTATGACCTCCAAATCACAGCCAAATCGCATCCCTATTTACCAATTACCCATCAACAACGTAAATCTCACCAATCCATGAACCAACCACCACTTAATTTGATCAATTGTATTCGAGGGTGTTAAAGAGAAAAGATGGGTGTTTGAGTGGAGGTGGTCGTGGTATTGAAAAAATGAGTAATTTGTCTAGTCTGTGGTATAGTGCCAATTAAAATTTGGTAGAATTTTTTTTTTGGTAGAATTTTTTTTTAAAATTAAAATTTAATAATTAGAAAATAAAAATTAAAAATATTCTTCTCCTGACTTTTAAATAATTAATTTTATTTCAGCTTATTTAAGTTATTTATGCCTAATAATATATAAATATAAAGTTACACCAAACAGTCTGATATAGACTCCCAAATCAAAATAAGTTATAACCACCTTTTATAATCTGTGGTGTTTTGGAAAGTTGTTAATAAGCTGATTTTTTGACTTTTTAACTTTTTTGACAAAAAACTAGATTATTTTGGGTAAAAAGTTGGTCTTTTTGGCAACTTCCCAAAACAACCTAGAGAAATGAGTAAACAGAAGAATAATTAAAAATTTATAATTTTTTATTTTATAAATGTTTGTCCATTTTTTATTTTAAGGTATTAAATTTTTTTAGATTTCTAAAAATGCCCCTTATAAATTATTATAAACACATTTTAAAATTTAAAAAGAAGAGTAATGGTTGGAAAATCATTTCAAAATTTGAATTAAAATATAATGATTATATGTCTCTTTAATAAATTGAATTTTCTATATAGACAAATAAATTGGAACAGAGGGAGTAAGGGCATAATAGTAATTTTGTTTTTAATTGAAGTGATAAAGATATTTTGGAGATTAAAGGGGGGTGACAATGATATTTTAAATAAACAGAAGGATGTCAGTGTAATTTACCTTTAAAAAATTTGTAAAAATAAAATTTGCGCCAGGTGAACGAGACCGTTGGTAGTGTCATTGTTTATAACAGCCTAGAGCGAGAGAGAGAGAGAGGCAACAAACAAATAACTCTCCCATGTGGGAAGGTTGGACTTGGGAACCAAAAGGAGGGAGAGAGAGAGAGCAGCAGCAGCAGCAGCAATTCCAATGAATTCGAATATGGGTTTCTTTAGAAAATCACAACGCAGACAAAACACAATCCATATAATACTCCAACAAAGACCAAATCTCATCAAGATTCCACGTTCAATTACTTTTTATATAAATCATATATTATATACACACATTCCTGGATCTTCCACCGTCTCTTCCTTTTCTCTGGCAAGAAAGTCCAAACTTTTCTCGGGAAAATCTTGGGTTTTTTGTGGGAAAAGTTCATGGGTGTTGTTGGATGTTGATGTGAGAAATGGCAAGTGTGATAAGCTTAGGGAGGTCTCTGGAGGAGACACCAACATGGGCAGTCGCATCAGTCACTACAGTTATGGTTTTCGTCTGCCTTCTAGTCGAACGATCCATCTACCGATTCGGAAAGGTGAGTCCACGAGTTGGGGTTTTAGGGTTTTGATCTTTTTTGTTAATTTGAAGCTTCTTTTGATTTGTTGATTTTTTTGCCATTGGTGTACAGTGGTTGAAGAAGACTAGGAGGAAGGCTCTGTTTGCTTCTTTGGAGAAGATTAAGGAAGGTGAGTGAGTGTTTTCATTTTGCCAGTGTAAAAAAATAAGGGCTTTCATATGATTTGTCTGTTTGCTTGCTGTCTCTCTCTTGGATTCTGATGTATATTAATAATTGGAGTAAGAAAAATTCCATGTACCATGATTTTTTTTTGCCGAAATTTAACCCGAAAACTTGGTGTATGGTGTAAATTTAAAGTTGTTGGGATGTGGGTCACCAAGTAGCATGATTTTGGAATATAGATGTACTTTTCTGAGTATGTAATATCGTAATTGGAGTAATGGTAGGTGGTTTGGATATTATGTGATTTGGCACTTGTTATAGACAAAACAAAATACTAGTGTTTACTGTTTTCTAGATAAAAAGTGTGACTCGTCATGTGATGTGATTAGTGTCATATTAGCAGTCATTAGATATGTATTAAATGTGATCATCACAATATTAGTTTAGCGGAATACTACACAAACTAATGAATCTTACAAATTGTTTTTACCAACTTATGTGGCACCGACGACATTATTAAAGTGAGTTGTAATTCTTGACACATTAGTTAGTAAGAAAAGTTTGTGAGATTTATTAGTTTGCATAGCGTTCCCCACTACTTTAATGAGTGAGGTATTGAAGTAGTATCTTTGATATGTTTTGTTTTATGTAATTTGGTTTTGTTGTTTTCATTCCCCCCTCCCAAATGTTCCAACCTTTTTTTTTTGTGTAGAGTTGATGCTGCTTGGGCTTATATCTTTGATGTTAGGGCAGTGGGCAGGGTGGATTTCTCAGATATGTGTGAATTCATCTCTTTTCAGCAGTCGATTCTATCTTTGTTCTGAAGAGGATTATGGCAAAAATGAAAAAATTTTGCTCACAAAATCCTTCTCATCTTTAAATGAGAGTGATATTCCTCCAGGAGTCAACTATCCTTCATCTCATCAATGTGGTGAGGTAGACAGATTTGCTTGTAAGTGGTACTTCGTTTGTGGTTATGGTAGTTGAATCATTATACTAATGCCAATGGCTAATTGCAGGGACATGAACCTTTTGTTTCATATGAAGGTCTTGAACAGCTTCATCGCTTCTTGTTTGTTCTCGGTGTCACTCATGTGCTGTATAGTTGCGTTGTGGTTGGTTTGGCTATGAGCAAGGTGCATTCTCTGTTTCCATTGCAACTTTACTCTTATGGTTTTTTAATATGATAACGAAGGCATTCTAGTTATTAAGTTTGGTCTTTGGATATCCCAGAGAATTGGGATCGTACAAACTTGTTTTTGAAAACATTACGCATAACAAAATGGATTGATCCTACCCCATGTGATGTCCGATGCCCCCTAAATAGATACAGGATTTTATGTGCTTCTAAGTGCATCATAAATTTGCAGATTTACAGCTGGAGGAAATGGGAAAACGAAGCATGCCTTGCGCTTGATGCAAACCTGCAAGGTATGTGGCAAAATAAGATAATTGATGGCATAGAAACTAACCTCAGGATTTCAAAAGTTCCTTTTTCTGATTCAATCAATATTTAGCAGATTCAACTGTTTGACATAAGACAGTCAGGAGTTATTGGCATGTAGGCTTTCCCTTTTCCTATGTATGTGAAGTAGTTTAACTTGTCAAAAATTTGCAGATGCCCGCTTGGAAGCCATGTGGCCACATTTTCCCCAATTTGTCTTTCGTGTGACATGTACAAGTGGCAGCTACTATCATTGGTTGTCATACTGGATATTGATCATTATAGGAATAGTTAACAGCATTTCAATGCATGTAAATTTAGCAATTGTGTGGGATATGCAGTCTGTTTAGTGACCCCCAAACTATTGCTGGTTATTCTTGTATGGCATATCCTAAAACTGCATCAATTAGACTTAATTTACAATAATTCTACACTTACCATATTTCTATATCATATTATGCTTACTTGTCAACACAAAATTGGGGTAATGGGTTCCACTACCTTATATATCTCAAATGTAGTGCTGACAACTAGACTGACAAATCAAATGGTAAGATAAAATGATAGAAATAGATGGTCATCGTAGCATTACTCTTAGACTTGAGCATAAAACACAAACGAGGTACTGATTTGCAGGTTGTGATGAGTCCTGCTGAGAGTTCTGAGCTTGAAGGGCTTCTTTGCTGTAAAAAGGTAGTGAGTGTAGTATTGCAGAGGGGTTCTCCCTTCATGGGAAGTTCATTATAAAATACTACATGGTCTGGGATAACGTGTAGTCTTTTGTATGCTTAACGTGCACGAAATGTAAAATCTAAAACTACACAGAATGTATTTAAGAAACATTACAAATAGGAAGTTGCTCTCCCTTCCTAAGGTTTGTGCTGAAACTACACAAATGACCTTAGGAAGGTCATTTATGCTTAAAAATTCTTTAGAATTAATAAATCCTTGGATGATTTTTCCTTTTATGGGTTGTTTTGTTACCCGTTTCTGATAAATTGGTTTTGTTTAATAGCGAAGGTGAACAAGGTGATGAAGCGGCAATCCACTTTTGTTTTACATCATGCATCTCATCCTTGGAGCCGGAGCCGGGTTCTTATCTGGATGGTAAATATTCATGCTTTTGATATATACAAATATTGATTAGATACCGTTTTTGTTACTTTATTTGCATGTGCTTTCTTCTTGGATGAGACCATCAAACATGAAGCTTTTAGAAAAGATGCAAGCTTAAAAGTATGGGACTTGTGGCGTTATTTCAGTGTAAAATAAGTTATGAAGTAGCTTATGCATAAGGGTAGACAGTTTTTCTTAGATCTGAAGTACCTTTACCCCCTACTCGGTTCATGGTCCTTGCTTTGACTTGGGTAACATTTCGTGACCCTTGATTAAATTTTGTTTATTTCTCTTCACATCCTTTCCTATTTTTGCCAGCTCCCCTCCCCATTTTGGTGAGTACTTGCTTCTTTGATGACTAAAATTAATAAATCATATCATTATGTTTGCTTTTGTCAGTTTGTTAATTCATCTTTTTATTATGTTCCATCGTTAACTTAATTTTGTGATCTATTGATGCAGCTTTGCTTTCTACAACAGTTTAAGAGTTCAATACAGAAGTCAGATTACTTAGCATTGCGATTGGGTTTCATCACCGTGGGTATCTAATTTGTATTAATGCTTTCTTCTGTACATGCTACTTTATTAGGTAGATCTTTCCAATGTCACAATTTTTTTTCTTCTTCCACATTCTTTTGGATCAACTTACATGTCCTCATTTATATCCATCTTCATATTTTGATCTTTCTAGGATCTTTCCACACATTTCTATTGCCACTGGCTGAAAAAAAATTTGATATTTTGGGTGACTTTCAGTAGGAAAATTTCATCGTATATGGTGAATAACAACTTGCATATATTAGAGGACTAGTCAACTAGTCAGGTAATTGTAGCAAATCTTATTCAGTGAACAAAGACACAAATGTCTGTATCTGCAGTGAATTTGTAGTGTCCAAAGAATAACCTTAAAAAAGAGAAAAGAAAAAGAAACATATTCAGCAATAGTGGCTGTCTCAGTCTGACACATATAATTGCAATACTTGTCAAAACAAATGAAATGTTAAAGTAGTTGTGTGCATCAGAATTCCTTATATGACTGCCTTAATTTCGGTGATCCCTTTTAGAAGTTCGTAATGTTTTTAATGGGGTACTGGAACAGAAAAATGTGTGGTATGTTGGATCAGATATTATAAAATGAATTGACAGAACATATGTAAGCTTAAACTAGTCACTACACAAAAGAAATGCAATACCTTTGCTTTTTCCATATGCATAGATGTTAGAATTTACCATCACCACTACCACCTCACCTACTCCACTAAACCTAACCCACTACACCACTACCACCTCACCTACTCCACTAAACCTAACCCACTACACCACTACCACCATCCACTACACCTACATCTATATAAGGAACCATTTGTAATATACAGAAAATATAACATTATATAATCAATCAATAATACAATTCTCTATTTCTCTTTATACATTAAATTTTCTACAATAGATACGGTTATTAATACCCATTTTGCAAGTACTATGCATTCTTCATATTTTCTTGGAGTATTCTCTTTCCATTGGTTACCTTTCTTTCTTCCATTTAGCAAACTTAACTTCAGTGCACACAAATGTGATATTGATGCTTGACTACAATGTACATTTTCAGCATGTCTTGCTCATTTAGGTCATCATGGGAAACCTAACATCATTGGACTTCTGTTTTCTCCATTGGTCTTTGAAATTACCATCTGTATTGTTGGTCTAATGTCTTGTTATATATTTCTGTACTGGATATTGAAAGTGGTGCTGTGATTTGCAGAATCACAAACTACCACATTCTTATAATTTCCACAGATATGTGGTTCGGAGTATGGAAGATGAATTTTATGGAATTGTGGGGATCAGGTGGGTGCGCGCACTCATTGAATTGGATCATTGTATTTAGCTTAAAATTAGTATATAGGAATTTATTTACGACATCTCCATCAAATATTTAATCTGCTGAATTTGCTGAATGTTACATTTCTTGTGAAGAAGAAGCACATTGTCCTGTTTTGTCAATTCTTAAGAGGGTTCTTTTTTTGAAATTCACCTTAATTGATAATTATTAAATGAATGATGACAATTTCAGAAGTCCTTTAAGCAAATGGGACATGGTTTGTGTAACATCTTTTAGCAGACAATATCTAAAAGGCTAGGTCTATTGCAGTGCCAAATTCTAATTATTCTATCATCATATTAATGCAAATTCATGGAACTTTGAATTTCTTTGGTTATACACCAAAAAATTATCTGATACCTTGGGGGGCATGGGCAAGGAACAAAATTTCGTTTCGTTTCCATCCAAATGGCCAAAACATTTGCGTTTCCTAGGATGCTAATACAAAACATTAGTAGAATACCAAAATTCCAATGCTTCTACTATAATGTATCAAAACAATGAGGTGTTTCGATTCCTATCATGAATATTCAACAACGGTCATTTCTATTTGTCTCTTTCTGTCAAAAGCGAAGAGTTGAGAAAAATTTTAAATTTACTAGAGATTCCGATAAACTAGAAAGGAGAAGAGGAGAAGAAAAAACAAACATGATTAAGACACTTCTCTTGTTCTTTGTTACCGCAATTGTCACCATATTTTTTTTTCCTTTTTATTTTTATTATCCCCACTACTGCCATATATATATATTCTTAAAATGACAAACTCCCTTCTCAATTAAGCCTTTGAACCTTTTGTTTATGAGCCTCTAACATTCATAAACTTCAATATGTTCAATTTTTTAGCAATTAAGAATGTATTGACATTTATATAGGTTCTTGTTTTTGTTTCCAAACATTTTCATATGCTCCAAATTTTTTGATATTTCCCTTATTATTAAAAGAAAGATGGTGTGTATTTTGTTGGCTCCTCTTAGAGGAAGCTTGGTTGCCTTACGGCTTTCTTTTCAGCTCTATTCCATATCTTTCTTTTGGGTAATAAAATTCTCAGTTACACAAAAAAAAGGGGATAAAATAAAAAATTGAGACTAATCCATGGTTCAATTTTGCAGCTGGCCACTCTGGGGTTACGCCATACTGTGCATCTTCATAAATATTCATGGTAATTTGTGGGTTTATAAGAAATTAGATAAACATATTTTGTGTTTTTTGATAAAGAATTTGTAATATCAATTTGACCCAATGTCACAGGTTCAAATATTTACTTCTGGCTTTCTTTCATCCCTGCCATTGTAAGTTTGCTCCTACTCATGTTGTTAGTCCTATCCTACGATAAATTGTCTGCTCTGGATAATATTTCTAATGTTTATTGGTTTATGAATTATTTTGCATACCAATATATATATTTCTAATGTTCAAATTTTTCCCACGTGTCAAAGCTTGTCATGTTGGTTGGAACAAAACTCCAGCATGTTGTGTCATTGTTAGCACTTGAGACTCTGGAGCCGAGGGGACAACCTATTGGAACTCAAGTAAAGCCTCGTGATGAACTTTTTTGGTTTGGGAAACCAGAAATATTGTTATGGTTAATACAGTTCATCTCATTTCAGGTGATATTTTGTAATACATATATATTTTGTCTGGTTGACCGAGTGATTAGTTCATTTTATTTTCACCCTCATTGTTCTTGTATGTGCAGAATGCTTTTGAGATGGCAACATTTATATGGTCATTGGTAAGATGAGATTCTCTCTCTATATATATATATATACATATGAGTTTGTGTGTGCAATGGAGGAAACCACCAATATTTTGCCTTTAAAAACTTACGATTACAATTGCATTTACTTAAAGCAGCAATCATGTGCTATATAGTTGCCAAATCATATAACTGAATTCTTCTTCTTCTTTTTTTTCCTGTATGTTAGTGGGGATTTAAGCAGCGATCATGTTTCATGGATAATCATGCAATGATCATCATCCGGTTGATTTCAGGGTATGTTTCTCTTAGGAATTGGACTTCAATTATAGAAAGTGAAAAGTCAAGTCTTATGCAAGGCCATACTCTTGCGAGCGAGTACATAAAGACAGAACAATTAGTTGCAGGTGACATGATCTAAATAAAACTCACATTTATTTGGATTATTCACAAGTATGATGGGAATGTTCATGTCAAAAACCACGTCTGATTAGATGTTCTTGTATTATTTTCTTTATTTTATGAAATCATATTTTATGCTTCTAATTTTATAGGAAAGCAAGACCTGATTCGTTCTGTTGTAAAGTCTTTCCCCGATTTGATCTTCAGATGGAATCATTAATTTGCTTTCTTTCATCCTTCAACCTCTTCAACGTAGATTTATTGTCATATTCCTATCTCTACCTCCACCTTCTCTCTCCTATTTTCTCTATCCCAGTATATGTATAAATCCAATGAACCAGAATCACTTGTTTACTAGTGTAGTCTAATATCCAATGCTAATGCAACATGCATTTCCACATACTTTAAGGTAACATATACTAACTCTGTCTTCCTTCCAAACTTACAGACATTTGGGACAAATGAGAGAATCTTTGTTCGGTAACATATACCGATACGAGACAAATCTGTGTTAATGTAGCAATGAGATCCACATTTATTATTCTCGGATATTTGCGTCTCGCGCTCCTAATTATATTGCATTATTCAATGAAATAGATTTAGTAAAACACTCAAATCTTTGTTCATTTTTTTTCTTCCTGATAATGATTTGTGGAATTATTCAGACTGCACCTGTAACGTGTTCTATTTGGTGCAGTGTTCTTGTTCAGTTCTGGTGTAGCTATAGCACTGTACCTCTGAATGTACTCATCACACAGGTTTGTCTGTAATTGAAATTTTTTTAAATTTAATATATGTTGATGTCATTTAACCAATATAGTAGATTTTACTTCATTGTTTGACATTACATACATATAGCCAATGCTGCAAACATCATATAAGCGCATGCATCTCCTTTCGAGCACTTCATTTGAGTGAAAGTGTATGTGTAATCATCTTTTCCCATATATTGTTTTGCTCGTCTTGCATCTTTTGATAAACTTCCCTGTGTTCTTGGCACTAACTTCTAAAGAACAATGAGTCATCCAAAAATGCTCATGATTGTGTTTAAGTAGGAACGTATACTTACATGTTTTTAATTAAAATGTTTTTACGTGTTCAGATGGGATCAAAGTGTAAGAAAGCCGTGATTGCTGAGAGTGTCCGAGAGTCACTCCATACTTGGTGTAAGAGAGTAAGAGCAAGGTCCAAGCGCGATGCTCTGCATTCACTTGCTACAAGGTCTACTTGTTCCCTCGAATCTATAATCGATGAGAGGAATGAGATCATCACTGTTGGATCCGGTACCTTATCAAGAAGCTCTTCTATAGGCACACTGGATCATGTCGAGTTAAATGTAGAGAAATTTTTTGAGACTTCAATTCCAACCCAACACGAATTATCATTCCAGATGCCAGAAAATCCATCAGAAACCGTAGCTGATGGTGCAGAAGATGATAACTACTTGCATGGTGGAGAAGGTGGCAATGATGAGACTCTTTTCGAGTTGTTTCAAAAAACATGATAGTGTTTTTCAAAAGTGGTATTTTCGTCGACAGTGTTGACAACTTGGGATGAGTTCAAGCTTCATTTCCAAAATGGAAGTTTCTTTAATTGATTGACTGTGATATTTGTACAATACTGGTTTGTTTGCATAGAAATTTTTTTTTTTTTGCAAGCTTTTGTATATCACAATGGAGTACTAAAATAGAATTACATATGTACTGGATCATGAAACAAGTTTTCTTATCCAATCCATTGGAATGCATGATGATTTGTCATTCCATAGAGTTTGAACTTAATCACCAATTACGTGCACAGAAAAATCTTGATCTCAACTAATATGAAGTTGGATTACTTTTCTTCTTCTTTTTTTGGATACGCTTTTCTTTAAACTTTTTTGTGCACGTAGGCCTAGTTTGGTTCGGGCTATTTTAGCCTAGAAAAAATCGGTTTATTTGTCTTATTAAGACATTTTAAAATTTTGATTAATTTTCTTTCCTTTTTTTTTTTTTTTTTTTTTTTCTTTATCTTTTGTTTTAAGGGTCTACTAGTCTTGAAGAACCTTAAAAAATGATTAGTTTGATGAAAACTTTGCTCAACCAAACTAGGCCATACTATTACTGGAATTTTAAGAATCTTTTTTGTTTTACATTAGCATACTTTTCATGAGTGGAAAGAGAATAAAAAGCTTTTCAACATCTATACTATATAATAGCAGACAATTTAGAAGGTTTTAGAACTTTGCCACTTTTTTTTCCACTCAAAATTGTCAATATTGTTGATTATTTCAGAAAATAATTACGAACAATTATCAAAATCAACTTGTATTATACATTCATCAAATAAACAAAAAATTTAGACATAAATTGCAAATGTATTGCGTTTGCAACCACCAGCAAGTTATTGAAGCTTACAATCATTTCCCTTAAGGGGAATGTAAAAGAAACCAAGGCAAAATTAAATTACTCAAAGCATAACAATCATGAGAGAGACACAGAGTACATCGAGAAGAAGTAAACTAAGCAGTGAGCTCCTCTTCCTTGTGTGTCTCAATGACAACATCAGATTGAGGATAAGCAACACAGGTGAGAACCCACCCCCCATCCATCTGATCATCATCAAGAAAACTTCCATCCGACTGATCAACCTTCCCTCCCACCACCTTCCCGGCACACGACGAGCATGAACCGGCCCTGCACGAGTACGGCAAATCAATTCCGACCTCCTCGGCATGGTCCAGAATGTACACATCATCAGGGCACTCAAATTCTTGTGGTCCCTCCGGAGTTATGAGCTTCACTTTGTATGTAGCCATGGCTGTTATCCTGGCCCCACGCCCTGTCTTGACTCCAAACAGAGACTGACCCACATTAGGAAGCGACCGGAGGCTCGTCACCGGTCGGTTTCGGAGGAAGGATGTGCTGATCATGGTGCCTGAGATTGCAGCCGAGGTTGCCATTTTTTTGATGGGAGATGGAAGGTGGTGGTTTGGAGAGACTTGTGCTGATAATAGAGAGGCTTGTGGGAATAGTGTGGTTTGGGCAAGAGAGAAAAGGGCTTGGATGAGTTGGCATGGACTCCTATCCTCCACGTGTCAACTTGATGTGGATCACTTTATCATTTTATCTTCAGAAGGGGCTCATCAGTTTTTATGTGATTGTGGTTGCCACAATCCTCAATTAAAATTTTGGCATATAGAAAAACAGTGACTGTCCAGCAGCACAACAACGGGAGGTTCTATTTGCACACACCACATCCACTTTTCACACACACTTAATGAAGAAATATGTTGGAGGGTTATGTGTGGAAGATGTGTATAGAGAGAGGTGTGTGTGTGTGAATAGATACTCCCCACAACAACCTACACTGTCAACAGTGTAGGCTTCAGACTGTTAAATGACACTTTTACCCTTAGAGCATCTCCAACCCACAGGGTATATCATACTTGTTAGTCAAAATGCCTAATATAACTCATTTTTTTCAACTCCAATGCACTAGGAGTATGATTAGGCATATTAGTTCAACTCACATTCACTAACTACATGTAACTAGCCTTCAAGGCTAGGCAAAATGTATTTAATCATTGGGATCATTTTCCTCCATCTTTGTTGCTGACGTGACATTTTATAAAATTAATAGTATTTAGATAAAGAGCATAATTGGAGTAAAAACATGAAATAATTGATAGGCAAAATAAAATATATACTTTATAGTAATACTTAGATAAGTAAAATGCCTATTACCGTTGCAGATACTCTTACAGATCAATTTTTAAAAAAAATAAAATTAGAGGCAAATTTGTCATTTTAACCTTAAACATCATTTCAAATACATTTTTCAATACATCAATCAATTCAAAAATTTAACCCAACTTCTCAAACACAAAAATTAAAATAGCCAAAAAGTCTTAAGTCTAAAAACAAACCACTTCCTAAACACCCACATTATATAACTGATATTTTCAAATATAACAAGATTAAAACCTCGTAATAATACTTAAATACTCATTTTTACTTCCTTATCTATTTATCTTACAAGGAGAGGTTGGGCATTTAACTCTCCCAAGCTAATCTACCAACTTTAACCGATAATAATAATAATAATACCAAAATAGCAATCCTCTAAATCAAAATTTTGTCCATTCTCTATGATCAACTTTAGTCGCAAAACATCATCATCTGTTTATTACATTCCATGATTTGCAGAGAAATGAGACAGACAGAACAAATTTTAACCCAAGGGTGAAAGTTTCCAAATTCAAATTTAAACGCTAAATTAAAAGAAATTGGAAGGGTGTCGATTAATCAGTACCAGAAAATAAACCAAAGCTCTCAAGCATTGCCCAGTTCGCTCGTCTGAGTATGTCACCCATTGATCACGGTTTCACATACAGATAAGACATAAACTGGCATGAGAGAGAGAGAGAGAGAAGCATCCCAATCTTCTAATGACTCAAAATGCATATATGCAATAATGCAAGTTCTAGAACAACTTTTCATTGCACATATTCACTACCACAAGATTCATTTCCTTGATATCCTTCCTTCCGTCAAAAGCATAATACATATAGCACAATAAAATTAAATTAAAGAAACAAAAACAAAAAAGAAGAGGAGCCACTAAGGTAAGAGGAGGAAAAATAACTACATGACAAGCGAGCGAGTCACATTTCAATGTTATCTTTTTTATATTTATAAAAACAATCTCTGCATATCCTAAATTAAAAGTAAAGAAGAAATCACTTACAGCCCAGGGAAAAAAAGGGTAAAATCTCAGGGCTTCGTCATATATCTAGAAAAGTTACATGCCAATCCTCAAACTATATATGATTTCCATCTGTAAACATCGGTGGGTTCCCCCCACATACATGACCGGCGGCTTCCTCTCATTCATTCTCAACAATCAAGACGTAAAAAGCTCATGGAAGTACCATCCGATCCATTCCTTCTCAGGTGTGCCCTAATCACACTTGATGTTTCTGTAGATCCTCCTCACGAACAAATTGGAGCCCAAATAACCAACAGCTCCTGAAATTTTGCATGATATTGAACCCCAAAGTTATTAGCAAAATCTTTTCAAAATTAAAGTTAAATACAATATCAAAACAAATTTCTTAAGAGATGGCATATCATATGACATTTAAATCAGAGATCATTCATCAAGTATAGAACATGAAAGATCAAGTTTAAAATTTCAACAGGGTTACAGAAAGCCACTTCAACCGGTCCTTTATACTTCGCCACTAGTTCCACTAAAATTCAGGCAAAAAAATAGATATTCCAGTTCTGCTTAACAGATCAAATATCAAAAAACCCTAATACAAAAAGGAAAAGCTTCAGGACTGGAGAAAAAAGTTGCATATATGAATGAAGAAGCAACAATAAAGAAGCACAGTAACACAAAATTTATAGCAGTTAAAACTCACCGCAAAGAATTCCTAATCCGAGGCAAAACATCAGAGTGTATCCAAAATAGAAGCTGGTCTGGAAGAAGCCAGACATCTTCGTCTTCACATAGTAGTAATATATTGAATACAAATACACATAGACAGCTGTTGAGGCAGCGGAGAAAAACGAAGTCCACCGCCAGTGATAGTTCTCGGCATTTAGCAAGAAATATGTCCCCACAATTGTAACACAAACCGTAACAATAATGAGAATCAGAAAAACCAGCAGCATAAAGCCATAAACATAGTACACCTGTCAAGTAAAAAAGATCAAAAACATATCATTAAGCTCTGACTAAACACTTGATTAAAAAGAATGGGTGGATCTTTTCTTCCAAAGCTTCTTTTTTTTTTCTATTGGCAACAGACATTTAAATAATTCAAAGCAACATCAAAAATGGACTGCTAGATGCAAACAATCGAACTGTGGTGAATAGGGCCAACCCGACTTAAGGGTTGAAGCTGTCAAATTGTGCAGCCACCATATGCTTTAAATTGGCCACAACAAAATCTATTCACCTCTTCCTAGTCATGGTTGTTAAAATCGCGATCCGGATCGTGGGATCGTACGATCCTACGATCCTACTTTGCCAAAACGATCCAGATCATTGTAGGATCGATGTTACAACAGGATCGCAAGTAGGATCGTGTAGGATCATATGGGATCGTATAGGATCGTAGGTAGGATCGCAAGTAGAATCGTAGATTTTATGATTTTTTGATTTTTCACCTTATTTTTAATATGTATCATTTTAATTTTAATTTTTATCTTTTTTTTTAATAAAAAGTAAGATCTTACGATCCTCGATCCAATCCTACGATCCGATCCTCTCACCGATCCTACTTAAGATCCCAATTTTAACAACCTTGTTCCTAGTTAAAAATAAATTTTAAGATTCTTGCAAGTTGCAACAAAGTAATTTTAATTATCTACCGAAGGGTTCTAATGAACACTGGTTCCCAAGATGTCATATATCAGATGCTACTGGGAAAATTCAAGACGTCTTCTCCAAATTCGTTTCGATCACCAAAATCACATTCACTATGCCCCATATTACCTTTTCCATATCATTGAAATCCCCGCCTATAAATATCTTCTCACGTACACATTTCTCTAGCATTGGCTCATCCAATTGATTAAAAATTGTCAATTAAATATGCTTCTCCAATCCTATTTGGGGTTTAATGCTAGTTACATTAGTCATATTTTCTACAACACATTTTATTAAACATTATTTTGTCTCCTTTTCTTGTAACTATTATTACTACATTAACTTTTCTGGTATAATAAATGTTGTATTGAGTATTTTCTATTTATTTCCTTCCTCGCCTACCCACGTAGTTTCTCGTAAAGCATACCTTCTAATCATAATAATTACTAATTTCATAATTTTATCAGTCAACGTTCTTACACTCCACAATCCTTAACTACCTTCCTTAGGCGCATTTGTCCAGGAAGATACAGGTACCCTTGCCTATTTTTCACCACCCGGGTGTCAAAAAATTTAGCATGCACCCCTTAAATAATTAGACTAAACTCAAGATTGTTGACATTATCCTTCACCAAACAAAAGTATAAACCAATATTGCAATCATCAGAAATTTAAATCTTATTGATCATAAAGGGTTGCTGGGCATTTCGTTTATCTATTCCTAGATAAGAAAACCCAAGCAATTGTATTTAAGCCATTCAATGCATGAGTATGATGTTATCAGATTTACCTTGTAATTCCAGAAGGACGTGAAGACAAAATACATCTCAATGAATATGCTGCCAAAGGGTAGTAGTCCTCCCATCACAGAAACTACAGATGGAGTGAGGTACCATTTCTTCTCTGGGATTGGACGGGGAATGGTCTTCACACGGCATGGATTGTTAGGAGCACCACTCCAATTTCTTCCTACAACAGTACCAAGAAGTGCAAGGGGAAAAGAGATGAAGGCCCAAATGACGAAAACAACTACCATCGTGCCAAAAGGAATAGCTGCTAGGGATCCATAGAATATAGCAATTGTATTCAACATGAAACCAATCCCGAAACACATAAATGGGAAAAGTGATGCAGTGAGGATCATTGATTGTATCCAGTTTTTACCTGACAAAAAGACAAGGAATATATAATTCAAGAAAATATATACATATATATATCCATGCTTCGAAGACACCAATATAGCACACCAAATACATACAAATGAGAGCAAAATAAAGCACCAGTTGGATATAGAGATTACCCCCATTGCGTGAATACATTCCACCACTCACATAACCCGAAATGAATGACGTTAAAGCATAGCATACAATGAAGGTTGTGACTATTGCTCCTCTCCTGAAGTAGATAATCAGAACTTAAGTAACAATTTGAAGCCTATACTTAGAAAAATTAGCACAAGGAGGAAAACTTTTGACAACATGAACAGATAGGGCAAAACGGTTCGTGCTGACAAGACCAAAAAATCAGATGACAATAGAAGCACGAGCGTAGAGATCAAGGGCCACCATTACCCAAGGGAAAAACCCTACCAAAATCAGATGAAAGCCAACATGGATGGAAGGATCAAATTTACAAGTTGTACTCTTACAATGAATAGATAAAAGGGCAAATTACCAATACCACTCGAGGTTTGCCTAAAACACATATTACCTTCTGTGATTTTGGAAATAACCATTACCCCCTGTCAGAGTTTATCTATTAACAGGGTTAAGAGAAATGAGAAAATTACCTTAATACCCTTAATTTTTATAGGACAATTACTTAATTACCCTTATTTTCCTTACCCACCCAAACCTGTGCCAACACTTATCTTCTCTTCTTCCTCCTCCACTACCATCGCCATGAAAGTCAACCACCAACATACATACACACACATATCACCATGGCCAGTCCCCCATCCCTTCCCCACCCGCCATACCCATTCCTCCCTCCACCGTCAGCCACCCACCCCCAACTCTCAACAACCATCCCAGCATCTCTTCCCCACCTCAACCGCTAGCCCGTACCACGTCCCTTAACCCAGTTGCCATTCCCACTCCATCTGTTAAGTAACTTTGTTTCACCTAATTCAAGGAAGATTGTAATTCATGTCATGTCCCCCAACAACAAACTGAAGATTGATTCGGGTGAGGGAATTGGTCAAAAATCTGTATACTGATGAAAGTGATCAATATAAGAATGATGATAAAGATTCCAAATTTCATCTTAAATCTGCCAGGTGGGTTTGTTATGAGAGGGAAGGTGGTGCAGTATTTGAAGGCTAAAAATGGCATTTTAATCACATATACTGCTAACATCATCAAAAATCGCTAGTTGACTAAACGGTTGACTAATGGAAGGGGTCCATTTATTATATGCTTGGAAACCTCAAGAGGTGAGATGTAATTTTTAGAACCACGAATAATCTGTATTTTAAGCAAACCCCAGGGTGTATTTGTAATTTTCCCTAGATAAAAAGCCATTCAAACAGCCACTTGAAACAAGAAACTATACTTTCATCATCCATACAAAAAATTGCAATTAATTATTACAATAATGCAACCAACAACAATGATCTGCTGCTTGACGACAAACATTTGGATTGAAGCTTCTTAATTAATTTTCAACATACCCGATATACAACATCCCAACAATTGCAAGCAAGATGACAAGGAGAACAAGCAATGCCAGCTGAGCCCCTGTCCCAACAACAGCTGAAAGTAGCACTAGATTGCGAGGAGGCCGAAAAACATCCCCATGGACAAGCTTCCAACCAGACTCCTCATTCACATCTCTTTCCTGAATATGAGGTCATATAGTCACCAAATTTTGGATTTCCATAAAATAATGACATCTCTTATGTCAAGTTTAAAATATAGAATTAAAAAAAAACACCACACAGTGCTAAACACACAGAATTGTTTTGAGAACATTACCAAAGTCTCTAGATCATCATCTTCCCGAGCATATTTTGCATAGTCATTTCTAAGAGTTCGCATTAGTATCATTGACACCAGCCCAGTGAGGAAGATAACCATCATGAATGAATTAAAAATTGAGAACCAGTGTATCTGCATTACACAAATGAGTCTCGTTGAAGTTGCAATAAAATATTCAAAAATACTATCAAATAGACTAAATCCATAAAAACTCAATTTAACCAGTGCATCTGCATTATACAAATGAGTCTCGTCGAAGCTGTAATAAAATATTCAAAAGTACTATCAAATAGACCAAATCCATAAAAACTCAATTTGTATTAACAAATCCCACAGTTATTAGCAAAAATGCAAATAAGCAGACATATAGAAGAGAAAAAAATTTAACAGGCAAATGCAGCACCCACTAATCCACCATTGAGAATGCATAGAGAGAAGAAAATTACATATAAAACAACATATACCTGATGCTCAAAGAAAGGGTAATCCAGGTAAACATCAAAGCGACGTGCAAAAGTGACATTAGTTTCAATCCACTTGACAGAATATGTCATGTCCAGTGTTCTCCCCACTTCCAATGGTTTAGGGCTCTCTTGAGTGAGATTTACATGAATGATCTGGGTGAAATAAAACAATAACAAATAATAAAACAGAAATCAAGAGGCCCATTACAAAATCTACGTAGTTCAGAACCCACGGACCTGATCCTTGTTGTATTTAATAATAATGCTCTTATGTGTGTGAAGCACATGCTTGTTGTTATCGCTACTCTTGTCAGGATGCAGTTCACCAATAAAACCTATAACATGGATAAGATGATGCATTAAAGCATTAGGTATAACTTAACCATCTGAACAGACTCCAAAACAAGAAATAAAGCTTAATAACACAAAAAAATTAATACAAAAAATACAAATAAAGTTTAATAATACATACCCCACAGAGGCAGATCGTCTGAACTTGTATTCAGCACCCAGAGAACAAGGAAAACAAGATCAGAAAAAATGCAGTACAACTGAAGAATATAGCTCCAACAAAAAATATAAGCAAACCAAAACATGTTAATCCAGCAATTAAAGATATACACCAAAACAGCAGCTCCATACTATTTTATTTTTTTGATAAATAAAAACAGCAGCTCCATTCTGTGTTTCCCCAATCCTTATTTAGTGTGGAGCTATAGAATTGGAATGCAAGAATATCCACCATGCCCATTACAAGAAATCAAGGATCCTAATAGGTGGCCATGGCATTAAATGCAGAAGTTTACATGAATGCGGCCACTACTACATCTCAAAGAGCACAAAGAGTCAAAATCAGAAAGTTGAAAGAGTATGAAATTAAACACTTATGTCTCAAGCATACCGGAACTCTATGAAATACTAATGTTTAGTATAGTGTTTCAGCATTTTTAATCTCTGCACATATTTAGAATATGAATATACAATACTACAGGTGGTTGATAAACAAATGCATATTTACTTTTTATGCTAAATTTATGTTAAACAGCAATTTTGGTGGCAGCAATAATAAAGTACAATTATTTTATTTATTTTTTTTGTACAAAGACTGACTTAATTACACTCCAAAAAATAAGAGTAGCAGATTGCCGATAAGAATGCAACCTTATTTTTCCAAAATTATAACATAGCACTCACTGGCTTAAATATAAAGTGTAAAACACATAAGTTGCAACACTCTCTACTCGACAGGAATGATGTAATCTCTTGCAAAGGAAGGCATTTTTCAAATCTTCTAAAATAAATTACTATGTTTGGTTCCATTTTTTTGAATTATTTTTCCAAAAAGTTATTTGAAAACTCTATTTTGAAAAAAGATCTCTGTTTGGTTTTCAAAAAAATGCATTATTGCAATTTCAAGTTTCCCTCCAATTTAAGGAGAGAAACAATTTTGGAAAAAAAAAAAATTTGTCACATCAAAAAATACTCCCATGTTAGTTTTATGTATATATATGTATATGCTATATATGTATGAAAACATAATTTGGTATGTAGTCATTTATGGGTATTTATCTCACCATTAACTGTGTGACTTTATCATAAAATTTCCACTCATTTCCACTACAGAAAACGTAAAAAAAAATTCAAATTGGCAATAAAAAAATTCTTACATAGAATTAAATTTTCATAATGTTATGCAGAAAATTTATTTCATCACACAATATCGTACCATTAACACAAAAACATTGTCTAAAATTGGCATAACAAAATGTTCAAATTTTTTGTACTTCATTTTGCAAAAGTTTGTGAGTTAGTTACGATTTTTTTTAATGCCAATTTGTAAAAAAATTACGTTTTCTGTAGTTGAAATGAGTGCAAATTTTATGATAAAGTCACACATTTAATGGTAGAATATGTATCCATAAATGGCTACATACCAAATTATGTTTCTGTGCATATATAGCTAAGATGAGACTATTTTTTGATGTGACTATTTTTTAAAAAAAATTGTCTCTCCTTAAATTGGAAGGAAGCTTGAATTAAAAACTGTCTCTCTCCTTAAATTGTCTCTCTCCTCAGCATATCATTTTAAAAAGTGTGTTTAGTTTTCTAAATAACCAAACAAGTACTCTAAAATTTTCAAAAAACTGAGTTTGAAAAACAACCACCAAACGAAGTGAATACGGTCCAAATAGCCACGAGTTTCCAAAGGTTCAAATGTTTTACGGCATTTCAATTGCACCAATGTGTGTTGTGATTTTGAATTATATATAGCAAGCCATTCATTCATCATCAAACTAGCAATAAGTCGAACATTATAGTGCACAACATACCAATGAAGAATTCAAACCAATAACTACTCTCAACAGCATCCTTAAATTGTTTCACCTTCGCTTCATCAAGTTCGATTTCACAAATGGTGCTCCTATCCAAACTTTCTGCAAGACAAAATCAAAGTATGCCACCATTATCATTTAACCACAATAAACAAACCATACAGAAGATAAAAGAAGACATACATACTTCGGAATTTTATGTCAATATGACTATCAATAAGTTCATTTCCACCCAGGACCTCCCCAAGGCCACCCCATTTGTGAGTCACATTGCCAGATGGATGACAAAATGGTAGGCTGTAATAATTGTATGTTTCTTGTGGATTATTATAAGGCCCAACCTTATTTACCCAGAGGGTAATTGGGTCATCTGCTTGATACTACATGAAGAAACAAACTGGTGTCAGAAAGGTATATGTTACCATCAGATACGTCAATAAATAAATATAACACAAGTTCCAGTTAACTGGATTGAAAACAAGATTTGTACTTGAACTATTTGTGCAAAAATGAGATGGACTGCAGCACATACTACTTAGCTTATCCATAAAAGTATATACACATATATAAACACACCTTAGCTTACAATATTCATTAAAACATTAGCTCATAACATCCATAAAAACAAAATTGATTAAAGAACAAAATTGGTAGAAGGAATTGAGATTCAACGAAATATTTTTCCTTTGAAAGAAGTGGATATATACATTATCGCATTCATTAACGGATATAACATTTCTCAACCAAAGAAAAGAGAGAGAGAGAGAGAGAATATTCAAAGTAGCAGACAGAAAGAAAGAAAGAAAAAAAACATCGAATTTGCTCCACCAAGCAAAGGAAATATTCAATATGAATTTATGGAATGATGACAACAGCATTGAAATTAAATTTAAGTATGAATAAGACACATCAGTTAGATGCAAATTTATCTAACAACTAAAAGCAAAATGAAGAACCTATAAATTACACTTAAGATTTATGAGACTCGAGAGCCAACATAGACATGGGATATCTAATAATTTGGTAAATTTTGATACGAAAGCTAGATTAATAGATTTTTCATAGTGACAATGTGGTAAAAATAAATAGTGACAAGAGGAAACAGGATGCTGACTTTATTCAGAAACTGGTAACTCTAAGATTTGTTTCCTACATCTTATTTATTCGACTATTTATATTTATGTTTATATTAGTCCCAATTCAATGCAAGGCCCTGTTTTTTTTTCTTAACATTGTAAATACAATATTTGTAGATAACTTCGTTGTTTATATACATAGCTCTCTAACCAGACAAGAGAACTAAGAACCTGTTTGATTCGGGTATGTAAGAGGGAGATTGAGGGTTTACAAGGTATAAAATCCAGTTAAGTGTACATGTTTTTTTGTCTCCCCTTTTCTCATGTTTGGTTCCCCCCCCCAAAAAAAAAAAAACCAAAAAAAAACAACCACCACCAATGGATATAGACTCATACTTCATCCAATGGTCAAAAATAATCACTATTCTCTTATCCCGTGTAAAATCCTACCCCAGCCAAATATAATAAAAGTGATTTCACAATATATATAATCCATCTCATATTCTAAACATATTGGCCATGTTTGGTTTGTATTTGTGAAACAATTTTGAAAAATAATTTTCTGGAAAGAGTTTACAAAATTTGTTTAGTTATATATTTTGAAAATAATTGTAAAGTTTAGAATGATTTTATTTATTTTTTTTAGTTGAATAGATAGGTGTGAGAGAAAAAAAGTAATTGATTAATTTGTAGGAGACAAACCAAACAAGACCATTATATTTCATCCAATAACCCTAAATATTATATATCCTCACTCCAATCCAAAGAATCAAATAGAGCCTAAGTTTATTCTTTTTTACCTCATAAACTAGGATTCTGCAAAAAAATACTAAAATCGTTGACCTGACCTGACCTGACCTAACCCACACCGACATCACACATTTAGAGGATTGGCGATAACGGTTGAGTAGATATGGGCATTTTTTAAACGGTTCAAAATTTCATAATTCATCCTAATATTGTGCAGACATGTCATGCTATGAGTATAATATATTTTTGCACCTCAACAACAACCAATCACCCCTCAAAACTTCCATCAAAAACAACCCCTAATTTTTGTGAAGCGAAATCTCACATCACCTGGGTAATAAAGCGTGAGAGCACCCTCACCTCAATAGCAATGTTAACTGAGCATTTTGGGCGTGAGGGAGAGTGTGAAGCCAAGTCTCGCATCTCCTAGGTACTAAAGCATGAGGGCATCTTCATCTCAATAATTAGCTTTTGGAGTTAAATTATACCCAAGACTGTGTAACAATTTCATTGATCTTACTAGATCTAATGACCATTATGTCCCTTATGGATACGACCTCACAGTCATAAGTCAACTACGATGCTGCCACCCCCTACCTACGCAAGGCAACCTCCAACTGACCATAGCACTTTCTCTCTCTCCCTTTTCTTAGATTTGTAACTCTTGAAAACCCATTCCCCACTTGTACAAATGTTTTGGATCCTTTTGGTTAGGTTTATTATTTTGATTCTCTCAACTATCAATTTGTTTATGTTGACTTCAATATATTTTGTCACTCGTATGATATATTATTGTTATCAAATTCCATGATATTTGATTATGAGAATTTTCATCTAATAGCGTTTCATTGTTTGGTTTGTATATGAACTATAATAACCTTCTTTCCATGTTTTGCTATTATACTAAAACAATCTTTTTACATTTTTTTTGCTTTTTCAATTGATGACATGGCCGCATTTTAGTAAACTGACCAACCCGCCAAGCAATTGGTTCAAAACTATCCCAAATGTTCAACCTACCCGCCAGTTTTGAGCCCATGCAATTTGGCGGTGAGTGAACAAATAGTCAATAAATCAAGGGCAGTTTGGTTTAAAAAAAATCTCCCAAACCACCCAAACTGACACGTGCACACCCTATCTTAAACATTTAAATAGGATTAGATAAAGTCAGTCTTTTCCTCTTCTTTTATTACCCTTATCAATCCTATTTCTTCACCTTTCCTTCCTGCACTCCCAAGATCAGTGTTATGTGATTTGGAGTCATTGGCCTGTTAAAAAGGCAATCCAAACTACATTGCAAGCAAACTCTAATGAGCTAAAAAGTGAATTTAAGTTTCCATGCCACTTTTAACACAAATGCATGCAAACATAATGACGATAATAATACTAAATAAATAGATCTTTTGTCACTTTAGATGAGTCATAAACAAGTAATCAAGTCAAATCTAAGCAAAGTCACAATAAATAATTATAGCAACAACAGTAAACCCCGAATGATGAGCTCCAAAAGACCCATCCCCACTACATGGAAGTCATTGGGGAAACTTTCGTTTTGACAATTCACAAGAGTAAATACAAATAACTTTCTTTGAAGACCTAGTTCAAATGAGCTAATTTTACCATACCCCGACGGTATGCGAGTAGGAGTGTCTTAACAACACAGCTCACACAAACCCCCCTACACTAAACACCGGAAACTACCACATTACCTACATTACCCTAGTCTCTACTATCATACTGCCACCATAACAGGCACCATTACAGTCATAACTCACCCAAGCCTACCCCCCACCCAACCCAACAACTAGCAAAATCGTCAGCTAATCTGATCGCCGCTCTTGCTTCAGTTGGCTAGAGATCTAAACCCTAAACCATGACCAAAAATAATTTCACACCAATTCAACGTTTATCAATATTCTTGAGCGGTAAATCAACAATTTCCATAACGAATAAACCGCTAATTATAACAATTTCAAACCATTATATACCAAAAATCACACAAATTCAACCTCTACAGTTACATAGATCTGAACAAAATGCGAATAGCAAAACGCAAAAAAACGAGATCTGAGAATTGAAACATTGAACTAGAACAAAAAAGGTATCTAAAATTAGGGTTTTGAGATGGAGATAAATTGCATATATATATACCTTGTGATCGTACTCGGAAGCGAACGCCGGCGAGACGATGAGGAAGGCGAGGAAGGCGAATAAGGAGGAGGATCGGACGGTGGGCCGCATCGGGATCGCCGGCGTAGGATTGGATCTAAGCGGTGAAGACTGAGAGAGAGAGAGAGAGAGAGAGAGAGAGGGGTCACAGAGGCCTTGCGTTTTGATTTGCTTCGGTTTGGGCTGCCACGAACGTGCTAGAGAGAGAGTCTGCTTCTTCAGATTTGCGACTTTATGAACAAAATTTAATTGGACTTTAAATGACAAGTATACTATTTAATATATAACATGATCTCTATAGTAACGCCATTATGTTTTGTGCCCTTGTTTAATTGTGCCATCCATCATCACAGAATTGCTTATATAAAATAAAAACTATTCGGCTATAAATTTAATTTTGAATATTTGTTATTCAAAGATTCACATTTTAAAATAATTTGTCCTGTAAATTGATCAAACTATCTAAATATATATACATATATTGTTTCCAAACCCTAACCAAGCCAAATCAAAACATTTCACTCTCTCTGCTAACCTTCTCTCTTTCTCTTTGGGTTGGTTTGTCTTCAGAGATAGAATGAAAATGATTGAAAAAATTGTTACTGAGGGAATTAAGTATAATTGTTTTTTTTTTTAATAATAGTTATTGGTGTATGGATTGTTAACTTATTTTTATATAAAATAAATTCAAAATAATAAAACAAATACCCATTGCCACGTATTGATGACTTATTTGATCAGTTACAGGGTGCTCAAGTGTTCTCTAAGATCGACCTCAGATCAGGATACCATCAGTTGAAAGTTAAACTAGAAGACATTGACAAAACTATTTTTCGAACGAGGTATGGACATTATGAATTTTTAGTTATGCCTTTCGGAGTTACCAATGCACCTGCTGCATTTATGGACCTCATGAACAGAATCTTTAAACCATACCTTGATGACTTTATTGTTGTATTCATTGATGACATACTGATTTACTCCAAAAGTATAGAAGAACATGAACATCATCTGAGACTTGCCCTACAGACCCTAAGAGAACAGAAACTTTATGCTAAACTGTCTAAATGTGAATTTTGGCTTGATCATGTTATGTTTTTGGGGCATGTTGTTAGCAAAGATGGAATTTCAGTTGATCCACAGAAAGTTGAAGCGGTAGTAAACTGGCCTAGACCAACAAATGTCAGTTTTGACTTTACCCTCAGGTACGGATGGTTATACTGTATTTAGTGATGCTTCTCATAAAGGTTTGGGATGTGTTTTAATGCAGAATGTGAGAGTTATTGCCCATGCTTCTCGACAACTGAGACCGCATGAAAAGAACTACCCGACCCATGATCTGGAACTTGCTGCAGTAGTATTTGCACTGAAAATCTGGCGTCACTATCTGTATGGGGCGACATGTGAAGTATATACCGACCACAAGAGTCTAAAATATTTCTTCACACAGAAAGAACTGAACATGAGACAGCGGAGATGGCTAGAACTGATTAAAGACTATGACCTACAGATTTTGTACCATCCAGGAAAAGTCAACACCATTGCCGATGCACTGAGTCGGAAATCGATTGGAAATTTAGCATGTTTGCTCACCGGACTGAAAGAATTGCTTTGTGACATTGAAAAATCTGAAATTGAAATTGTTTTGCAAGAACAAAGTAGACAATAGCTGCTATTTCTACTCAACCGGCACTGATTGAAGAAATTAAAGAGAAACAATAATCGGATGACTTCTTGAAGAAGATCATCGAAGAAAGGGAAACTAAACTAAGACCGGGTTTCAAATTTGAAAATAATGTACTGAAATTTCAAGAAAGACTGTGTACCGAATGATACTGAACTGAAAAGAAGAGTTCTGCAAGAAGGCCACAATTCAAAGCTGTTTATCCATCCAGAGAACACGAAAATGTACCAAGATTTGAAATTGAATTTCTGGTGGCCGGGAATGAAGAAAGAAATTGCTGATTTTGTATCGAAATGTCCTCATTGCCAACAAATTAAAGCTGAACATCAACGACACGCGGGCTTATTGCAGCCCTTACCCATACCGGAGTGGAAATAGGAACATATCACCATGGATTTTATTGTGGGATTGCCTCGCTCCAGTAAATGTGTGGACTCAATTTGGGTTATTGTTGATAGACTGACTAAATCTGCTCACTTCTTACCTGCTAAGACAATTTATAATGCGGACAAATTGGCTATACTCTATATTGATGAAATTGTTAGACTGCATGGAGTGCCTGTGTCCATTGTTTCTGACAGGGATTCGAAGTTTACATCGAGATTTTGGCAAAGCTTACAGATTGCATTGGGTACTAAATTGAGACTGAGTAGTGCTTATCATCCTCAGACAAATGGCCAGTCAGAAAGGACCATCCAAACTCTGAAGGATTTACTGAGAATGTGTGTCTTTGATTTTCAGGGAAACTGTGAAAGCCATTTGCCCTTAGCCGAATTCGCCTATAACAACAGTTATCATTCAAGTATTGGTATGGCGCCTTTCGAGGTATTGTATGGCAGAAAATGTAGGTCTTCGATTTACTGGGCAGAAGTTGTGGATGGGCCTTTGCTTGGGCCCGAGATTGTATATGAAACGACTGAGAAAGTGAAACTGATACAACAGAGACTGAAAACTACACAGAGCAAGCAGAAAAGTTACGCAGATGTCAGAAGACGAGACAGAGAATATGAAATAGGTGATCACGTGTTTGTGAAAGTGACACCGATGAAAGGCCAGACTCGTTTTGGAGTCAAAGGCAAGTTAGCGCCAAGATATGTCGGACCGTATGAGATTATTGAGAAAATCAATCCGGTGGCGTATCAAGTTACGCTTCCTCCTGAAATGGAGCATATGCACAACGTCTTCCACATATCTATGTTGAGGGATTACCTCTGGGATCCTTTCCATATGGTAGAGCCTACTCGTATAGTGCTGAGTGATGACTACACTTACGAGGAACGGCCTATTCAGATTGTAAACAGATGGATCAAGAAGTTGAGAAACAAATAGATCCCGTTAGTGAAAGTCGACTGGCAAAACCATGGTGGCGTGTATGCCACTTGGGAAAGGGAAAATGACATGGCTAAAAGATATCCTGAACTGTTTCCACTGAATCCTGTTTTATTCCAAAACGAAGGTAACTCGAGTTTACAGGACTAAACTCTTTTTAAAGAGGGGAGACTGTAACAACCCTCACCACTGTTTACCGATAAACTACCGATTACTGCTAAACTGAGAGTGATTATGAAAAGCAATTGAACTGATTAAAATACTGAACTGACTGACTGAAATCTGAAACTGATTGATTGACTGTATCTGTTTAAATGCATTATCTATCTGTTTGACTGTTTTATTATCTATTCATGTTTTATGTTTAAATTGCGAATTGAATGCCTTATCGGCGGCCGAACCGGTGATCGAATAGTGTTTTATGATTATCATAATTTATGTGATTTTATGGTGTAATTATCTGAAAATTGATTTGGTATGATTAAATTAGATTAAAATGAGCTAAATTACATAAGTTACCCTGTTTACCATATTGCCATCCTAGTGGCCTACTACCTAACACATTTGAGCCTTGCACTTGATCACATAACACTTCTCCCTCAGCCATTTCAGAGGCCACAACCGACTAGAGTGAGAGAGTGAGAGAATATGAGTGATTTCAACTTGATTTTTGTGATTTGGCTTGAAGAATTGAAGTGTAGATTGCAAATTGAGTTTGTGTATCTTGCATTGAAGACCTAAGGTAGATCTTTGACCTTCTTCATTGTGCATTTGAGTTTATTCTTGCATGATTAATGGGTCTTTAGTGATCTAAGGCTTGAGTTGGTTCAATAGTGTTGAATTAGAGCTCAATTGTTGCATACATGCCTATATTATTGAATTTTGAGTTGATTCCATGGAACTTGGTACATGCATGCTCATATTTATGTTAAGTCCATGAATTCATCTTGTCTTTGAAGATATTAGCTCAATAGAGCCTGTATTTGAGGCTTGTAAGTTGTTTAACTTCATGCATGTTGCATGTTCATCTTGTTCATGAAAATTGGTTTGAAATTGGGTTTAATTCCCTCACATTTGGGCCTTGATTTTACAAATTGAGATTTGAAATCATGTTAAACTATGAGTTTTGAAGTGTTTTTTCAGGAAATGGGCCCGAAGGAATCGAATTTGATACATTTGAAGTTGAATTTGAGCTTGAGGTTCGAATATGGAATTTCCAGATTTTGGACTCACGCTCGAGCGGAGTGACTGGTGCTCGAGCGTGAAATTCGTGCTTCTAGTACTTTGCACTGTTTTACAGTCCGCTCGAACGGAACAATTAACGCTTGAGTAGGACATTGTGTCTTACACTCGAGCGGGTGTCGAGCGCCCAATCGAGCGTGATTTTCACTCATCCAACACTTTTGACTGTTTTGCATTACACTCGAGCGGGTAAGTATACGCTCGAGCGGAAACCTTTATTTGCATGTCCCTTGGAGCGGAGTAACCTACGCTCGAGCGTGAACCCTGTTTTCTGAAAATTCTAAAATGTTTTTCAAGTGCATCTTTGTATCCTCATTTCATCCTAGGCATTCCTAGGCCTAGCTTAAGGTATCTTAATGAGGATATAGATATAGAACCATACCGAGTCAAGATAAGGATTAAGTTATTATCTTTCCCAACTGTGTAGCTTAGTGTGTGTTCATTTGTAAACTGTGTAGGGTTGGCGACTAGGGACGTGCTCTAGCCTAACTATAGCCCAGAACTCTGTGAGTAACAACTGTGTAAAGATATGTTCAAAAATGATTATCTTCTGAACAATTGAACTGTACTGTTTTTGAATTGATACTGTTAATAGAATGAATGTATGTCCTCTATTTTGAACTGTATTGTGGCATCCTTAGCAACTACTGTTACTGACTGTTACTGTTATAGAGATCTCTGTCGGTTCCCTTGTTGGAACCACTACTGTTTACTGATTGATGGCCATCATTGACTATTCGGTCTTTCAAAACCTACTGTTTACTGTACTGTTATGGTAATGGATGTACCACATATGACTGTACTGACTGAACGGCTGAAATACTGATTTAATGAACTGTTTTTATCACTGTAAGGACATTCATTCTAAACCTCTTTACGCATTATGTTATTCACTAGGCTTTAACTCACTGCTTATATATATATGTAGGTATACAGGCACCAGACCGCGGCTAGAAGCGTTGGGGTAAGCTCCAGTTTTGTCAAGCCAACCATTGTGCCTCAC